GGGAGGAAGCAGGAGCTCACCCTGCTGCGCGACGGCTGGGCTCGAACCGCTGAAGTGTCCACCATTTCTGGCCAGCACCTTTCAGCGTCATTAAGCCGCTGCGCTACTGCATCCCCTATATTTTTTGGGGTGGGGGGGTTAATATCCAAACCTTTAACAGAAGCAGAATTGTATCTGGGAACTGTTCATGGGCATGGGAAGACAGAAATAAAACAAAGGTGAAACATGCAATAAACAGATGCTTTTATGTTGTCCTGGATCACTGATTTGAGCAAGAATGAGGAGCTATTCCAAGAATTTTATATCAAATGTACCAAGGAGTAGCTTTATTGAGAATTCAACTCTCAGAATTTTCAAGCAGATATCTAGTTCTGTGGAGTAGCAGAATAGAGAAGGTGGATCTTATTGCCTGAACTTTAATAAAGGATTTTAATTTCTAAAAGGAATTATTAGCTACCAAGGAACCAAGCTGTTTCCAAAGACAAACATTATCTTGAGTAGAGGACATTCCTGATGGGTAATAATAATAATAATAATAATAATAATAATAATAATAATAATAATAATAATAATAATAATAATAATAATAATAATAATAATAATAATAATAATAATAATAATAATAATAATAATAATAATAATAATAATAATAATAATATAAACACCTGCAAATAAATGTAGAACAACTATGGCAAAAGAAAGCAAAGATAGTATCAATAGTTATAGGTGCCTTACGTGCAATCCCAAAACATCTGGAGCACCACCTGAAGACCATTGGCATTGGCAGAATCACCATCACCATTGCAAAAGGCAGCTTTACTTGGAACAGCTTATATCTTGCGATGATGCTTCCAACACCATCAAACAACAACATCTGCCTATTCCAGGTAGTTGATAAGGACTCAATAGGGGGATAAAAATGTCACATTCAGTGTAAACATCTGGCTGGCTGTGCAAGTAAGCATATAAATAAGAATATGCATGAGTTTTATTCTGAAATATGATCAAAATGATTCAGAGAATAAAATCCATCCAGCTATTAAGAATTTAATTTATTCTGAAGAAATTTATCAATTGATTGATGTTCCAATCTCAGACAAAATTCCATCAGTGAAAAAAGGAGATTCCACATATTTAACTGTCTTTTTTTTTTTTTTTAGTTTCTGTTTTCTGCTTCCAGAGATCTGGCTGGATACTAATGAATTCTTATCACAATGCAAATATTGTGGAAATGGAGTGCAGTGATTATTCATCTTCTTTATTATGTGGGAGACAAGTGGAAAGGTAAGAGCATTAGCTTTCCCCAAGAATATTAAATGATTTATCCTTTCAATCTTCGATGTATCTTTTCAAGCTAATGTTCACTCACATATCAACAGAGATACACATGCCAGTATTTTTTTCCTATTGCAGAAAAAGGGGTGAGATATAGGGCAGCACTGTCACTTGATTAACATTTCAACAAAGACATAAATAGTATTTTCAAAAATAAAACAATTTACAAACAAATTCACTCAATCCTACAGTGTATCTGTAATCAATCAATACGTGGCTACTGGAGTGATAGATAGATAGATAGATAGATAGATAGATAGATAGATAGATAGATAGATAGATAGATAGATAGATATTCCTATCCCCACCTCCCTACTTCTGCAAGCATTGGGACGGTGTCATCCTGCCTGACAGTATTACCGGTTGCCTTACCACAGAGTGAGTATTCTCACTCCAAGGAAACATTATTGTTGTGTTAAGTGGAAAAGAGACTTCCACAGGCATTTGCTTATTTTGTGGAAGAAGCAAAAGGACCTCAGAAAAATGATTCCTCTTTCTTATGGAAGACACAGAAGTATGCAAATAGGTACTTTACATCCATTGCCTCAGTTGGGACAATACTTAGGGCTCAAATACAGAAATGGCCCTACTTATTTGTCCATAGGGACTGCCATGGATATATCATCTCTGTAACAGTTACCAGTCTATTTCTGGTCTGAATTTAAGGTATTGATCTTTGGTTTCAAAGTCCTACATAATCTCGGGGAGTATCTTTCTACCAGACTTTACCAATCAAATAATCACTCTTTATTCCAGTTGCCAACTTTTCAGTAACTGGTATAGTTATTAGTCACCAGAGTAAAGTCAGTTTATCATAGTATATTTGAACTTTGGAATACTCTCCTTTAAGAGATTTCTTTATGACATTCTTTGAACAATTTTTGGAAACATGCCAATGTTTTTTTCAGTTAAACTTTGAATTTGTACAATGCAATGAATTGTTTTCTTCCCTCCCTCCTGATTCCTCTACATTTCAATTAAATCCTTTAACACTCAATTTATTGTTTACTTCAAAACACATAAATTATTAAAGCTTTGTTAACTTACAGAAGAATATAACTTTTAACAGATGACTCATAACATAGTACTTATTTCCCACCTTATTGCTTCTACCAACTGACAGGTTTTTCAATTACCGGATCAGCTAACCCACCAATCGCCCAGATTGGACAAAAAGTGACACTGTCCTGTGAAATGAAAGGATGCACATCCTCCAAGCTTCGGATGCACTTATATAAATGGGAATCCCACAAAAATCAAACATTGTTTATCCACGACAGCACAAGGGAACCCAGTATTCAAGAAAACAGTCCAGAGGAGAGAGAGAAGAACGGCTCACCCAGAGGACAGTACAAGGATGGGCTTCTCTCCGTGACACTCAATGAAGTGCAACTAGCAAACAATGGCCAGTATGTCTGCGCTGTGACATGTGATGACGTCTATAAAGAATCTACAATGCAGTTGCAAGTGGAAGGTAAATAATATTGTTCAGATTTATTTCCTCATCTAGCACCTTACTCTCTTTTGAGCCTGACCATCTTGTATCCTGGCCTAACAAGTATTGTCATGGCCCCACACCTTCAAACTACCAGCTGTGATTATCAAATGGCTTAGAAAAGTAGAATGGGGGTCTGTAGTTCAGCAACATTTTCTCCACTCTGTAGCTGGTCAGCTGGAGTTGCCTGTTTCCAGTCTACTTTTACCTGGAATTTAATTTACGTAAGTTACAAAGTCCTACATAACCTACACATTTTCAGGGAACCACTCTTCTACCATAAGTTAGCAACCAAATGAGAGCTTTGTATTCCAAGTGCCAAATTTTCAGTAACTGGTAATAGTTGCCATCTGAAGCAAGTCATTTTAGATATTACAGGTAGTCCTCATTTAGCAACCACAATAGGGACTGGAAAATTGGTTGTTAAGCGAATCACGCAATTCCCCATTGATTTTGCTTGCGAAAAGCCAGCTGGGAAGTTCACAAATGGCAATCTTGTGACCTCAAGACAATGCAACTGTCATAAATGCAACCTGGTTGCCAAGTGCCTAGATCACGATCACATTACAGCAGGGGTGCAGGGACAGTTGTAATTTTGGGGCACCAGTTGGAAGTCACTATTTCTAGCACCATAGTATCTTAGAACAGTCACTAACCAAATGGTTGTTAAGTGAGGACTACCTGTATATCTGAACTTTGGAATACCTTCCTTTAAGAGATTTTTTTCAGAAATTCAAAGATGAAAAAAGGATTGTGGAAGGTGGGCCAAGAGTTCAGTACCTTTTTCTTCATACTGTGCTTGGACGATCTGGAAGTAGGTTTGAAATATCAATATCCATTAGATTGAGAGAAAAGCCATCACCCCAAATCCTCTCCCAGAGATCAACCTCTGTCCTCCAGCTGTGAATCTCCCCCTCTAAATTTCTCTCTCTCTCTTTCACTCACTCACTCACACACACACAGAGACAGAAAGCTCGTCAACATCATTACCTGAGTATGGAGTATGGAAAGGGGAGAGACTGGAAGAAGTCTTTGGTTTATCGGTTGGCCAGAACTGCCCTCTTTGCCTGGCCCATTAAAGCAATCTCCTACAGTTCTGCTAGCTTCCTTAACTATCTTACTTCCAAGCATTTCAGCACTTTAAGTGACACTTATAGGACAACAATGTTAACATAAAATAACATGAATGTTTGGTCAGTTTCTCCCAAGCAACCTCACTCTATGCTGGACTACAACTCGCATCACCATTGCCAAGAATCATGCTGAATACAGAAACGAAATGAAAAAAATGCTTTTTACTTACATGTTGGTACCTCTCCACTAAGCAGCATTATCATGACTATGAATTGCAATGATGTAGAATGTCATTCAGTACTGACAAAATTTAATACTTTCTAGGAAAAATTAAAGTTGGTATCGGGGAAGTTGCTGTTTTCACCTTCCAGACATTTCAGACCTGCAGTCTCTCCCATCTGAAACTGCTTTGGAGAAGAACCGATTCTGGGAAAAGCCAGAAAATCTATTCTTATCTGCATCAGGAAGCCTGCCCAATTATTTATTCTGAAGACTCCCTTGGTGACAGGTGCTCTTCTTCTCATGGGCCCATCAGCAGAGAATGGTTTGGAGAGAAGTATCAACAAAGGGCTGAGATCTCCAAAAGTCAGATGCTTATGAGAAACGTTACTTCATTTAAAGTAAGCGACATTCAGAGAGAAGATGCAGGGAAGTATCTGTTTTCAGTGGAATCTCAGGAGTTTCGCCAAGTGGTCGTCTTCACCCTTTCTGTGACAGGTAATGAAGAAGATATCCAGTTCCCTTCTGCTCCCTTTGACAGAAATCAGTCCAAGATACGAGGGTCCATTCAGGCTTAAAATAAAATGTGAAAGCCCACTCTTGCTTATTCACCATTAAGCAATACTCTAGAAGCAATTAAAAACATTTGTAGTAGATTCCTAAGGTAGGAACCAAATATATGGGTATTTAGAGAGCTAGAAATAGAAGGTAAATATTATTGCAGTTTATTGTTACTTAGTTTTGGATGTTAATTAGACACACGTTTCAAGGCATGTTCATGTAGTTCTTTAGGGCATTGCTGATCAGTGCTTCATCTGTGTGTACATAAGACATTATACTCCATGCAGTATAGATTAAGTAACAGTTCAGAAGTGGTTAAGAGCATTAGCTGTGGATATTTTTTTTAAAAAATGAGACAACCTAAAAGAAAAATAATCATATGTGAATGAACTAAGCGATCCTCTTCCTCCTGATTAATTGTCCCCTTCGAGTGTCAGCCAATATTTCTGAATATAAGTAATGGAACTCTCTAGCAGCAGGAGAAGAAGGTGCTTGTGTGTATACATAGACACACACACAAACACACAAACCTACAGAAAGGGAGAGAGAGAGAAAGAGAGAGTTCATCCCAACTAGCTGATTCTCATCTAAATTGCTAGTTTATATTCACTTTTTTGGAAATATTCCTGGCTATAAGACCTGGTAAAATCAATAGGCCAGTCTCCTCAGGTGAGTGGATTACAATGTAAAATAGCTTTCCATTGTATCAGGCAATGTGTCAAGGATGGCAGGATTTACATCTCTAAAAATGGCATAAAGCTCTGGAAATGACAGGAGATTCAGAGAAAGGGGCCATTGGTACTAACCCAGCAAGGGGAGTCTAAGTCTACTTATTTTTATTGGGTCTTTCAAAATAAGGTCCAGTTTGTTTCTTCTGATACCACATATTCTTTGGATACCATATTATTCATTTGTAATAACATGCTATCCAAAGAAAGTGTGGTATGAGAAAAACATTTTACACAGCTATATTCTGATAGCTCTTATAAAGGAAAGCCGACAATGTGATATCAAATGGCATGTCATTTCATTGGAAAGTGAGCAGGAAAATTTCCTGTGGTTCATTTACAGTTCAGGAGGGAATATTTTGCTCATGAGTGAACCTTATAGGCACTCAAGATCACTTGGCAAAGCTCTCCTTTAGTTGTGCTTTCAGAATCCAAATCCTTGAGGTAGTGGCTCTGGATTAATTTAACATTTTACATTATGAACAATGATTACTGAATGAATAACATTTTAAATGGTTCCATTATATGTGAAAGTGGTGGAGATTTGTTAAAGGGTAGAACTCTGTCTAACTGGGTGAGTATCCACAGCCCAATAAGCTATCAACTGTTGTTGATTAAATCAAATTGGGTGGGTTTACCCAAGATATACAAAGGTTTTATGGCTTTGATAACTATTTTAATCTGGTCTTGGGTTTCTTTATTTTTTGTCCACTTAAGTGGCACCATTTGACTCCCCTATGATGGACTCCATTATGCATAAGGGAAAAGATTCATACAAGCTGACTTCAACCTCAGGGGCTGTTGTGATATGGCGATTTCAGGCATTTCCTCTCTTCTGCCTTCTCTTTTAGGCAGCAGGTCTTCAGATGTATCCTTTCAAGCTAACATCCACTCACTAATGCACAGAGATACACATACCAATATGGTTTTTTTCTATTGCAAAAAAAGGGGTGAGATATAGGGCAGCACTGTCACTTGATTAACATTTAAACACAGAAATAAATAGTATTTTCAAAAATAAAATTATTTACAAACAAGTTCATTCAATCCTACAGGATATCTGTAATCAATCAATAAGTGGCTACTCTCATTCTCTATATATTCCTAACCCACCTGCCTACTTCTCCAAGCATTGGGATGGTGTCATCCTGCCTGATATTATTACCGGTTGCCCTACCATAGAGTGAATATTCTCACTCCAAAGAAACATTATTGTTGTGTTAAGTGGAAAAGAGACTTCCCCAGGCATTTGCTTCCTTTGTGGAAGAAGCAAAAGGACCTCAGAAAAATGATTCCTCTTTCTTATTGAAGACACAGAAGTATGGAAATGGGTACTTTCCATCCATTGCCTCAGTTGGGACAACACGTATGGCTCACATGGAGAAATGGCCCTACTTATTTGTGGACAGGGACTGTCATGAATATATCATCTCTGTAACAGTTACCAGTCTATTTCTGGTCTGAATTTAAGGTATTGATCTTTGGTTTCAATGTCCTAAATAAACTACACATTCTCAGGGAGCTTCTTTCTACCAGAGTTTAACCATCAAATCTAACTCTTTATTCCAGCTGCCAATTTTTCAATAAGTGATATTAGTTTCTAGCAGAATAAAGTAATTTTATCATGGTATATGTCAACTTTGGAATACTCTCCTTTAAGAGATTTCTTATGGAAATTCTTTGAACAATTTTTGGAAACATGCCAATGTGTTTTTCCGTTAAAGTTTGAATTTCTGCAATGAATTTTTTCCCTGCCTCCCTTCTGATTCCTCTACCTTTCTATTAAATCCTTTAACAACGAATTTATTGTTTACTCCATTATTTAAGCTTCTTTAACTTACAGAAGAATGTAACTTTTAACAGATGACTCATAACATAAATGGTGCTTATTTTCTGCCTTCCTGCTCCCACCAAGTGACAGGTTTTTCAATCACTGGATCAGCTAACCCACCAATCAGCCAGACTGGACAAAAAGTGACACTGTCCTGTGAAATGAAAGGATGCACATCCTCCAAACTACGGATGGACTTATATAAATGGGAATCCTGCAAAAATCAAACATTGTTCATCCACGACAGCAGAAAGGAACCCGATATTCAAGAAAACAGTCCAGAGGAGAGAGAGAAGAATGGCTCACCCAGAGGACAGTACAAGAATGGGCTTCTCTCCGTGACACTCGATGAAGTGCAACTAGCAAACAGTGGCCAGTATGTCTGTGCTGTGATGTGTGATGATGTCTATAAAGAATCTACAATGGAGTTGCAAGTGGAAGGTAAATAATATTGTTCAGATTTATTTCCCTGCAACGAGAGAAATGAGACCTTATTGAATTTGGATAGTTATTGATACAGGCCAGAAGGCATATTCAGAAAGTCCTTTGGTGCCATTGCTGCTCCTCATAGCATCTCCGTGATCATAAACCATCCTTCCTGATGGACACTTGAGCCCATTTAGAGCAGCACAAAAAAGAAACATTCCATACTGAATACTGGAGCTCTGCAGACCTTGGAAAGGATCGTTCTGGCATTGATGAGAACTCCGGCCACCTGGCTCTTGGGTTCTGCCCACTCATGCCAGAATCTAGCACTTTCCTCTCTTTTGAGCCTGATTATCTTGTATGCTGGGATACCAAGTATCATCATTGCCCCCTCCCCCCCCCCACCCTCATGCTACCTAGCCATAACTAAATGGCTAGAAGTGTAGAGTTGGGAGTCTATCATTCAGCAATGTTTTTTCCACTCCGTACCCGGTCAGCTGGAATAGTCTGTTTCTAGTCTACTTTTAGCTGGAGTTTAACTTACTTACGTTTCAAAGTCCTACATACAGTGGGGCAAAAAAGTATTTAGTCAGCCACCAATTGTGCAAGTTCTCCCACTTAAAAAGATG